ATGTTAAGTGACTGCCCTCACCCCCACCCCCCTGAATTGGCTACATTCCCCCTGGCTCACGAATTTCCTGTTGCCGCAACGCCGCGCGCGGCGACTGGCCCCCTCCGAGGCCACATTGCGCCAATTCTTGCTATTCGCACGGCGCGGAGTTATTTTATTGCGCGCAAACGTGGGGCGTCCGCTTTCATGTGCACATACCGAGTCTCCTTGAGGTTCCAGCAACACTTCGCACTTCTCTTCGATTAATTCTAGACGTTCCATGTGAAGAACGATTTGGTTGATTGCTTTATGCACTTCAACCATTATTTCGACTTCACCTTCAAGAGTCAAATTCTTGTTTTCCGGAACGTCGGGATATGAAGGCAGGTAGGTCTTCAGAGTCAAATTGTAGCTCACTGCAAACATTTACATAAACGAATCCGCCACATGAGCCCTGACGTGGTAAATGGAGCGTAGCCATGTATCTGGTAGGTATCGGCGCTCGACAATACATCGCATTCGTCCAAAATATTGTGGAATAATACAGTGAGAGAGCTAAACGGCAAAGTACCCGAAGTTCTAGAAATCTTTTAAGATGGGCCAAGCATCCGAAATTCATTAAAAACCATTTAAATGCTCACCTGGGCTACACAAGGAACAATTCATAAGGCCGATGTCATAGTTTGCGAATCGAGCGATTCGCTAGCGAATCGCTGGATCCGAGCGTTGCGCCAGCGAATCGAACGTTGCACCAGCGAGTCGAACTATGTACCAGCGACTCGACACTGTTTGAAAGTGGCGGGACCCAACGTTTAAAGGAAGTCCCGCCACTTTCAAACAGTGTCGACTCGCTGGTACATAGTTCGATTCGCTGGTGCAACGTTCGATTCGCTGGCGCAACGCTCGGATCCAGCGCATTCGCAAACTATGACATGGGCCTGATATGCCTAAAATCACTTCGTATAACATTACATTGTGCCTTCAGCATAAGCTTTGATCACCATTTGGCTTACAATCTTTGTCTGTAGTGAAGTTATACGACTACTATATATAAGCGGCTAGCGTGTGTCTGTTGGTGTGTGTGTGTGTGTGTGTGTGTTTGACCGGAAATTCATAAGCTCGAGTCACAGTAATGATAGCGCAGTGGTTCTTACGTATGTTATAGGGGGTGGGGATGGGACGAACACGGAGGCACGATGATACGAATGATAACGACTGATAATAGCTGATAAGAGGGGCTAGAAAGCGAGCATCGCCAATTTCGTTTTGCCGTTCATATTGGGTAAGAGCGTCTATACTTACAAGTCTTATGTGGGCGGTCCCGGGACATTGGTGGTACATGATTGGAAGCGATAGCAACTGATAATGGCTGATAAGATGCGCTAGAACGCAAAAGTCGTCGATTCCGTTGCCTGGCTCGCGTTGACACCAGAGCAACCATACTTACAAGTGTTATGTGGGGTGGGACGGGGACATTGTTGGTGGGTGCCAGAAACTGATAACGATTGATAAGGGCCGATAAGGCGCGCCAGAACGCTGAAGTCGTCGATTCCGTTGCCTGACACCAGAGCAACCATACTTACAAGTGTTATGTGGGGTGGGACGGGGACATTGTTGGTGGGTGCCAGAAACTGATAACGATTGATAAGGGCCGATAAGGCGCGCCAGAACGCTGAAGTCGTCGATTCCGTTGCCTGGCTCGCCTTGACACCAGAGCAACCATACTTACAAGTGTTATGTGGGGTGGGACGGGGACATTGTTGGTGGGTGCCAGAAACTGATAACGATTGATAAGGGCCGATAAGGCGCGCCAGAACGCTGAAGTCGTCGATTCCGTTGCCTGGCTCCTTGACACCAGAGCAACCATACTTACAAGTATTATGTGGAGTGATGGACGGGGACATTGTTGGTGGGGTTGTCATCAAATTGGAGTAACATTGATATGGAGTCTAGATAAGGTGCGTCAGAAAGCAAAAGTCGTTAGTTTCGTTACGCAGCGTTGACACTAGAGCGTTCCTACTTACAAATTGTAGTAAGTCGTAGTAGTACAAACAAAGGTACGTGCACATTATTTCGATATATATCCAGCTTACTTAATAGAATTCGACTGCATAAACTTTAAAAAACAAGTCTTCAGCAAATGATAAGTTTCATTTCTGACTATTAAGAAAACCCAATCTCATTAAACCGCTAATCCTTTCGTGGTTCTAAATAATGAAGAAAGTAAATGAATGATAAGCATTAGCTCCTCACTTATGTAAATAGGCATATTTCGTTTTGATTTTGAGACTGACAGCAATCCTATTCACCGCTAAATTATCTTAATTCAAGAAAAATGCTGGATGTTTACAGTTGTGAGATATATGCCAGTTCAGCTCAGACGTTATCACGCGTATTCTCGATGAGCTTCAGTGAAACTGTGGAGGGTCTAACACAGTCAATAGTGAGATGGTTAATGGAGTATCTCATGCTGATATTCCATGGGTCCTCCAATTTCGCTAAAAGCCTGCCGTGTGGATGCGCCGCGAATAGGAGGCGAAGCAAATACTAGGTAAACATAGGTAACCAGATCACGTAAATGTATATCGAGCTAGTCAGTTGCTGCTTTCCGATGAAACTCGAAAACCGCTTCAAAGAAATTTTGCCCTAACGTCTTCCTTCATCCCCCATGGCTCATGCACAAGTGCCAGCCCATACGACTACATTATTTTGGAATAACTCCAAATTGACTAGAAGGCGAACGATGAGTTCTATCAGTCGTTCTTTTCAAGGGTAAATATGCAAACTTACACGGCCTCACGTTGCCTGGAAGTCTGAAGGTTGTATAGTCGGCGTCATCGGTTTGGGTAAAGTCTTTGATGTATGATCTAAAAAAATTTCACACCCATAAGCAATACTGGGAACTTGTTGTAGGCGTTATCGCTGAGACATGATGAAGACGCAATCTTCAACTTTCGCAACTTCGACATTCCCGTAATGTTACTGACAGTCTTATGATTTTGTCAAAGCTAGCGAAATCTCTGTGACTTTCTCTTATCCAGCTACCAGATGATGGATCCCAATATCCGATTCAAACAGTGGAACAAAACCAGGATCATCAAACTTTCGAATGAAGTTCCCAACTAAAATGCCGTCGTTCAAGCCATTGGCAAAGGAATGTTGCTTCTGACCAGACTCCCTCTTCAAGGTCCAAGCAAATGCCAAGTGGTTGGGAAATAATGAAAACTTCGCACATGTGTTCGTAAGAAATTCGAACGCAGAGGCAGCGAATACGAGAGGGGCGGTTCAAAAATGGAAGCGGAAGCGAAGTGGTGCATAAAAAAAGCAAAAAAGCAGGTAAATTCGTCGGAACCACCCAGAATGTGGTCCCTGTATAGGCTGTTGATATTCAACTATGAATGAGTCAGCAGCCAAGAAAGAGGTCGTATGGACGTGGTAACTCGACATCATTTCAGCAAACATCATGCTTGAGTATCTCCAGTTTCTCTTCAACCGGAGACAAAGGACCAAAAAATTTGAAATAGAACATTGAGGGTTTTCCCGGAGCTTTACCAGTCTTGTTGTTTGTCTTACCATAGACCCCTCCCCCCATTCAAAAAGCGGTCTCCGGACATGTCTGTCAACTGTCAACCGTGAGGCTAGGCAATTCAGCGTTTTGTTGTGCTGTCTGGGAGCTCTCACACAAGCGCACTATTACAGAATCTCCGCTTTCTTTACCTCCTTTAAAAGGCTTAGTCCCACTACCACAAAGAACGTCTGCTTTTCCTTCTACACTCTCACCCCCTGTTTGAGCCTTGTAACCTCAAAAAGCGAGAAAGTGTCGAGTGCAGACCATACACCACAAGTGACGACGGCCTCCAAGTAAATCTGGGGTAGTGTTCATAGTGATAGCTGATTTTTGGTAAATGATAGTTGTAATTAGTGACAACTGATAGAATACAACTGCAACAGGCTAATCATTTCATTGGCAAAAACATTTACATTTTGTGAGGCCGTCGTCACTTGTGGTGTATGGTCTGCACCCGACGCCTTCTCGCTTTTGAGAGGAAGGGTATGTTCCAAAGCGACTTTCCTTCTCTTCCTTCAGAACTGCCCACCTGTCGTGACTTCCGCACGACTTTAAAGGGTCGCGCCTGGTAGGGTGCGCGCGGGTCTCAGTGCGCTCGTCCGATCGAAGGTTCGGGAAGAGGACAGAGAAGCAGAGCTCACGTGCCTTCGCAGTCAGTCAGTCTTCACGTCGATCTCGCCGAGTCTGGTCGTTGCGCTCTTCGCTCTTCCGTCGTAGTCCTGCTGTTCGTCGTACGTCGCCGTTTTGGTATCCATGTGTCTGGTCGATGGAGTCAGAAGGAGGACGGGCATGGATGCCCGAGATGGACCGCAGGACCGCTACCACGTCTCCCCCCGTAAGGATTGAGCACTGGGTTCGACCCGTGAGTTCGTAGGTCGTGGTTTTCATTTCGTAGAAGTGTTTATCATTCTTTTCATAGTATTTGCTCATTCATAT